TTTCCAAAAAGAAATCTCATTTCCAAATTCTCAGTGCAAAATCAACTTCTGCTTTAAGTTTCATAATATTAGTTACCCTCAACCAAAATTATTATCTCTGATTTTGAAGTCTCATAAATCTGAAATAGACAAAAAGAAAGTATACAAGATTCCACAGATATTAACCTGACAGTTTTTAAAGTTCATCTTATAAATTGAATTGTAGAATTCCTTCTGAAGACACTGTATTAAGAAGTCAATAACCTGATTGAATACTGAAACATTTAAAACTTGGGTTTTTTTTTTCATTCCCAGAAAAGACTAAACAGAAAATAAAATATTCAAACAAATCTCACAATACCATAATACTTATCACCTCAAGTCCCAACTAAAAGATTTAGCTTTTATATGAAAATCAATCCTAAACCACTTTTGAATTTTTTGACAGTACTTAAAGTTATTTAATGTTTTCAGTAATTGCTTAGATCACACTTAAAGGAAGTACACATTTTTCTAACCACTAATTTGGAGTGACAAGAAATATTATGGGAGGACTCTGCTCTTCGTTTTTAGTAGTCCACGCTGGCCAGTTTCATCATTATGAACAATTATATATTTTTCAAATCCAGATATTTGAGGTCCAAGTATAGGAGTTGGATTTTTTCTCATTATACAAAAATACACAATTTACTCTTCTCAGGGTGAGAGCGGTGACTATTTTAGTATTGGATTGGATGTTGGAGGTAATCAAAACTCAAAAATAAAAATTGAGTTTTTAAAAGACTTGAAAGACAGCATTTTAAAAGTTACCCTAAAAGTTTGAACATTTTTTCAGTTTGCCTTTAAAATGGTGGTCCTAAATTTAAAAATAAAAACTAAGTAACACACTATGTGTCTGTTGTCACATTAAAAAACTGCACCATTTAAAATCTGTGGAAAATGAAAAACTGTTGCAACGAGACGGTTTGTGGTCTAATAGTCATCTATGGTATTTTCAAAGAAGACGTTTCTAACATCCAGAATGGATGCTAATTCCAAAATGTGCTTCTGGAGATGAGGATTCTCCACTGTTTCATCTCTGGGCAGCTGTGGATATGATTCTGGGTAATTTCGTGTTTCCTAGTAGGCAAAGAAAAGAAAAGTCAAGTTTTATAGTCTAATGGAAGAAAATTACTGTATAGTATTCATACAATATTAAGGAGGACTTTAGTATTTTTCTTTTCCATACTGCTTAGTATGATTATTATTAATATATTTCTTAAACATGATCCTTAACATTTTGCCATTTGGATTTCTAAAAATGACATGTTCATATGGTCCAACTTAAAATATTACTTTTGAGTTATTTCACAAATGCGTGCTGAGGCCTGTTGTTCTAGGCACTGTGTTCTCAATCACCTGGACACCACACCATATATTTCCTTCTTGCTAGGAGGAAATATCTTTAGAGAAAGCACACACACATAAAATTTTAAACATTTCCCTCCTCGAATACTGGGGGGTCTTTGCATAAGGCTACATCCTTAGGCCACTTTAATGTTGAGACAGGCTTGCACTCAATTGGTGAATATGGCCTCAAAACATATAACCCTTCTGCCTCAGCTGCCCAGAGTGCTAGGATTACAGGCATGCACCAGCACACAAGCGGTGTTTATTTTTTTTTTAAATATTTATTTATTTTTATTTATTACATTTATTTATTGTGTGTGTGTGTGTGGCCAGCTCAGCCCACCAGGGGGCGGGTCTGGCTGGCATGTGGTGCTGGGGATCGAACCGCGGTCCCTGTGCTTTGCCAAGCCTGTTTCAAGTAGGCGCTTTAGACCACTGAGCCATCTCTCCAGCCCACAAGCGGTGTTTAAATGAATGAATAGGTATATTAAAAAACAAAATCAAGGAAAAGACATGCAAAGTACTGAAAAGCTGAAATTACTGGACCTTAGTAATTAATTATAGGAGAAGCCAAATAAATTTCAAAAAGATTAGAAAAATAGATGACTTAATGGAAGAATAGGGAACTATTAAGAGAAAAGCATAAAAGGAAATAATTTGGTAGAAATATAGTTTCAGGTTTTAAGTACACTTTGTGTGAGGAAAGAAGAATAACATGGATAGAACTGCTCCATAAATATAATTTGAATATTCAGTGATGTACTTCAGAAAAAAGATCTAAGTAGTAAAAATAGACAATGATATAATGTTCATCAAAATAAATATTGAAGCAATAAAATAGGTAAGATTTCTAAGCTACTTACAAAAGAAGCAAAATATCAGGAATATAGGAAATACTAAAAAAGATGGAGAAAAATCAGTGGAACCACTACCAAGAAAACAATGCGCAATGTATTAATTCTTTTTTTTTTTTTTTGGCAGAACCAGGGATTGAACTCAGGCCCTTGCACTTGCCCGGGAAGCGCTTATTCCACTGAGCCATCTCCCTGGCCCCTGCAATCAAATCAATAAAAAAAAAAAAAAAAGAAAAAAAGAAAAGAAAAATCAGTGGGAAAAAGGAAAGAGAGTAACAAATAAATTAGGGCAAAAACTAACAGGAGACAGTGAGATGGAAGCAAAAGGAGACAAAGAATCTGGAAAATTTCACAAAATGTAATTTTTCCACCACATTTACCATTTCCTGAAGAAATGAACAATACTTTTTTATAGATTACAGATGAGACTTCATTTGATCCCAGGGCCTGCTGAGCCAGTCCCACCCCCGGGGTGTGCTGAGTCAGCAACTGAGACTGGGCATGGTGGCACATGCCTGTAATCCCAGCTCTTGGGAGGCAGTGAACAGGGGGATCACTATGAGTCGGATCTACTAGTGAGACCCTGAACACCCTGTACACCCTTCCCTTAAAAATAAAAAAAAAAATAAATAAATAAAGAACAAATGAGGCTTCATATATGTTTTATTTTAAAGAGAAAAAAATAAAATTTCAAAAGAGTAACAGTGGTTAATACATTGCATATTGTTATCTTTAAATCAGTTACTCAGAGTATAAGATACTGTCCAAGCATTAGCACACACTTTTTTCCAATGAACTAAGAGAAAGTAGTAGTATAACTACCTTAAATCTCTCTCTCTCTCTCTCTCTCTCTCTCTCTCTCTCTCTCTCTCTCTCACACACACACACACACACACACACAC